ATGAACACAAAATATTGCTGCCAGGTTTGGTAGGTTTTCTTTTCTTGTGTAAAGGAGATGGGATTGGATGTTGTGTCCAATCAGTTTGTCGGCTCATATAAATGTATTGTCTATTTGAAGGATATTTCTAATTCATTCAAATGATACAAAAGCTAAGCCAAAAGTTAGGTAAAAAGGAGCAAAATATTTCAACAGACATCAAAATAAAAATCACTAAATGTGTACTTACCATCTATATGCAACTTCTTGAAACCGGTGAAAATTCAATGTGAAACAAGGAATATATATTTAATAATGAATGCAAGTATTGATGTAAAATCAATGCATCGAGCTACCAAAAATAATTGTATTCACTATTACATGGCCATGTCTGAACATTCTGAAGACAAACCGATGAAAGGAATATTATTTAATCACATTAAGCTGGCTTATTAATCATGGCTTACTGAACAAACCAAACCACAGGAGCTGGTTGGTACAATTCACTAAAGAGCTGTGGTTCCACAGTGGTTAGAATGCAATATTGCAGACTAATTCTGCCGACTGCCAGGAGTTCGAGTCTCACCGGCTCAAAGCTGACTCCGCCTTCTATCCTTCTGATGTCTGTAAAATGAGGACCCAGATTGTTGGGGGCAATAGGCTGACTCTGTAAACCACTTAGATGTGGTGCAAAGCACTGTGAGGTCTAAATGTTGCTGCTATGTATGAAGTAGCTTTGAAGAGGTGTACAGTTCTTGAGCTTCAAAGGCCAAAAGATGCCTTAGGCCACACAGGAATCTCCATAATATCTGTCTACAAGTGTTAATTCATCATCTGTTTTTTCCTAGATCATGTAATGACAGCCCTCAGTTGTTCCAAAATGCTAAATGTACAACATTCGAGCTTAGTACTTGAGTCTCTGTCCATGTACATGTTGTTTAGAGGCAAGAGGGGAAGGTAAAGGATTTCCATTTTTATTTCAAGGCAATGCTCTTTTTCCCCACTACCTTTATCAAAATTTTATCTAGTTTCACCCAGAAAGTAAAGGTAAAGGCAGATGATAAGTAGTTTCACCCACTAGAAGGAATTACAGTATAAGGAAGTTTAAGATGGGGATTGGCATTACTTAGAATAAGTGCTTGTATCTTCAAAATGATTTATAGAGGACTAGAGTAGGTTTCAATGTTGTTTTTCTCCATTTTTCTGGATGTTTAAAGCCAACCCAAATAATGTCCCCCAACTTGTTCTCCTTTTTCAGGCTTGGTTCCTTCCTATATGAGCAATGGATTGCAGTGTTCCTCCAATGTAGTAATTTTTTAGTAATTTTAGCAGTGCAATTCTTGATGTTGAGAGCTGGGAACTGCATGTGGTCCATCCTTTGCCAATTCTGAGTTATTGCAAAATTTCTAGACATCAGAAACACCTGCATTTTTGTGATCAAACGTGCTATTTAGGTTGTTCAGTAAATACATTTCACTGGAAACGTCAGATGAACAAATGGTCCTCTTTATTTAATAAAAACAAAATGCTTTAGAATATACCCACCACATAATCAAGAAAACATAATGCTCGTTAGGAAGTTTCAGTCCGTTTGAATACTGCACAGTTAACTGCAAGCACAAGGCAAGATGAAAAGAAACCCTATTAAATGAAAAGTAAACAAGTTTTATTTCTGGAAATTAAAGTCTGCACAGACTAATCACTCGTCCTGACAGGATCAATTTTAGACCATCTGATTACCATTCTCCTCCATTGACATTTACAGACAAGGACACAAATATCAGTACTCTGGAATTGCTAAAGCAGAGAAAACATGCAACAGTGGCAGAAATTTGTTTTACAATAGAATCAGCGCATTTTGGGGGTGTGGGAGGGGGGATAGACAGCCATATATGTCAAGGCTTAATATTTTGCTTTATTTCTCTTCTAAACTCTCCTTTGCTCTCATCTTTGTCAACTGCTCCCATTCACACCGCTTCATCTGTTCGGCATCATACCGGCCCAATTCTCTTCTGCATCAAACAGAAACTTTTTCCCATTTCCGAATGCCTTCAGATCAGGAATGGAGTTTGGCCTGATTAATATTATGCTTGTTTTTTGTTTAGAAAGACAAATGGGTCGGGTGGAGACTAAGCCCGATTTTCAAATATACTATGGCAAAACAAACATGCACACAAATAATTCGGTGAGAAGATTCGGTACCGGAAATCTGAGAATGAAGATGGCCAATACTTCTAAAGCATCTTGCAGAAGCAAGATGCTTTAGAAACATTCCAAATTTGCTGCATTGCATGCTAGCTATTATTGGCGATATCAACCTATAGGGGTCACTTTGATCTAAGCTGCGACCTGGCTAATTTAGTGATACACTCGGTCTAGGGGGTGTGAGGAACTCTGATCACAAAATGGGTCTGTACATTG